AGGGCAGCTGCTTCACCCTGAGGCTGCCCTGCTGCATTATATCTGTTTCCTACAATCATTTAATGTTTCTATTATACAGGTGAGTTTAAGAATTAAACCTAACAATCTTTTATCATCATCCTATATTGCTACTGACTGTTTAAATAGCTCCTTATGTCTATTTTCTTTTTTAGTGGCATCATCTACAAACACAACACTGAAAATGAGCCTAAGTTTATTCAAATATAAAATCACTTTTAACAATCATAAAAGACAATATAACACTATCTTATCTGTAATGTAATAGTATCTAAAATAAACAGCCAGATTCCAGCATTATTTCCCAGACATTAATGTTTGTATTAATTTACTTATGGACCGAGTGGAAATCTAGAAAAATAGAATCACTGTAAATAGAGTTCCTCTGTTTGTCTTTATCCTATTTCTAGAAGTAGAATCAATTAAATAGAACTATTTTTATGTGGAAAACAAAAATGAGCAGATCTTTAGCATCATTCTCATGTTATGTTCTATAAAATAAATAAAACCTGTTATTTATACCTGAACTGCCTCAAAAATGAAAACATTAATAGCAAAGAAATATTGGTGAAAGGGAATCAGAAATGTTGATAGTTTACAGTCTTTGTTCATTTTAACAGCAGTTTTTTTTAACTCCTGTCTGACTCAGAATATTTAGTTTGAGAAAAGAAATCCTAACTTTGGTTACTTTCATTTCTCAAGTTCCAAAAATCCAAGCTCTGTCCTGCTTCTTTACAGAACTGCAGTCAGAAGCTTTCGCCTGTTTTTGCGTACATATTTAGTTTTTTAATTGGGACTACTTTCATAGCCCAATATTAATTTTGGTAATTCCAGCGTACTCTAGTGTCTTTTTTTGCACGCTCCAAGCACACACTCACGCACACATACACCCTAGAAAAAGATCACTCAAAAATCAGACAGTGGAGTTAAACCGCGCAGCACAGTTGATGCGCTGCTATGGGAAAGATACAGGAAAGACCAGGCAGCTGCAGCTACCAGGCAGAGGAGCTCCGAGAGGAAAAGAAGCCACTGCTGCAACCATGTTGTTCACATGCAATTATTATATAGGGACAAGTAGGTCAGTCCAAAATTTTGGTAGGGACATGTCCCTATGGTCCCTATGCAAACCTACGCCCATGGCCTAATGGAACCACAGCAATGCCAAAAAAATATGCTAAAAAGGGAGGTGGTGCATCTGAGGGGGAGGCATAAATATTCTGGGCCGATTCTATATGTGACCCAGAAGAAATCTTTTCTTTCCAAGCCATCGGACCCACCGAAGGCATCAAGGAGGCCAGGGCGGTCCTAGGGGCCGAGGGGGCTTTCAGCCCAGACCAGTAAAAACAGATGAGGGATGCTGGAATTGTGGGTCAACAGAACATTAGTTTGGGGAGTGTTCCAATCAGATTTGGGAAGAGGCTACAGGGACGGCTAGAGCAAATCCAGAACCTTTAAAAAAAAAAAAAGGGGAGCATGGGAGCTATTTAATGCATTAAAAGAAAAAAGAAAAAAATAGTACTTACAATTAATGGACAGGCAGTTAGATTTGTCCAGGGTAATAGAAATAGAAGACCTTCAAACAGGAAAAAGGTTGCATGCTTCTTTAGTAATATCACCAACTCACCCCATTAATCTGTTAGGAAGGTAAAATTAGGCATTGCAATTTTCCCCACGCAGGGTGGGGATGAAGGCTGTATGAATAGGAAATGTAATGACGTTGCAACAAAATCCTCCTGTGTTTTTTGCAACATGCTTATCGTCTCAGCTCCATGCCCATCTGTTCCCTACTATGGAAACACCCTTATTAAACTCTGATGTAAAACCCCAGGTCCAAGATTTAGCATGAGTTAGAATAACTCAGCATTCTTTGCAATCACAATCTGATGAAAATTATTTAAAAGATATCCCAAATGCTTTGTGGTCTACAGGACCAACTGATTCAAGACTATTGACAACTGTAGATCCAGTTAATATAGTTCCTAAATCGCAATATAGGCCAAAAATAAAGAAATATCTGCTAAAATGTGAAGCAAAGGAAAGTATAAAACCAGTTATGAAGAATTTATCGGGTGCAGAAACAAGTCTGTTGCTTGAGCCATGTTATTTCAGAAGAAGGTAAAAAAGATACAAGAAAAGGGAAAAACTGTAATAGCAAGTGAGCATAAGCCAGTAACTAAAGAACAAATGTCTTTTTTAGGATTGTGCAATTACTGCAGAGTTTAGATTCCACATTATGCAGAAACAAACTCAGCTTCTCTTAAGCCTTAATTATGACACATCAATCGCCATGTCAGAGATCTAGTTGACCCCAGAAGCAGAACAGCAGTTCACAGAGCTAAAGCAGAACTATTCTCAGCACCTGTCTTCGCTCTACCAAATTATCAAAAACCATTCATCCAAACAGTCGACGGTAAAGCTAGTTTTATGACCTCTGTTGTTACAGCCTCATGGTGAAAAGTTCAAACCTGTAGTGTACTACTCTAAAGGGTTAGACCCTGTGGGAACAGCAGCTCCTCCGTATTCAAAGCAGCAGCTATAATGAGCCATGGTGTTACACATGTCTCAACAGGAGAGATGGTAGGACAGGTTAATCAACATTATACAACATATGGCTTTAACAACCGTTCAAAAATTTTTTGTAGAACATGTCTAACATGCGCTAAATACAATCCACAAGGAAATCTAAGACCTAAATGTGGGAAGTTTCCTTCTCCCACATATCCGTTTCAAATAATACATTAGGATTTTTGTAGAACTAAATCAAAGCGAAGGAAAAAGAAAAGACAGATGTTTCACAGAGATGAGGATAATTAGACAGGACCAAGGGGACGTGGGGAAGAGGCTAGAAGGCAACGGGACGAAGAATGCGCTGTAGGTGGGGAAGAAGTACCAAAGGAAGAAAACTAAAACCTCTCTTTTCAAAGAGATATGTGATTCAGTCAAGGGAGGATGTGTTTGTGGAAAGCAAGAGGGAGCAGAGGGCTAGAAGCAATTTTTGATGGACATGCAATGTAGAACAGAAGGTGTAAAGAAAGTGATTAGAAAGAGTAGATGGAAAGCTTTTTGTACCAAAGATATGACAAGGCTTTGAAATTATTAAATGGGCTTAAATTAGTCATAATTCGGGTGACTCCCCATTTATAATTGTTGGAGATGCTGGAGGCTGTTGATGCAACTTGTCTAGAGGTTGATTGTGCACCATAAATAAAAATGTTGATCGTTTAAACATTACAATGTCCAGAAGTTAGGAAACTGGACCCGAAGTGGTTTTGAAGCTGTACATGGACAAGTGGCTGCAACTTCACTTATGGCTTTCCAAAATAGAATAGCTTTAGACATGTTAGCAGAAAAAGGCGGAGTCTGTGCTGTATTCGGCGAGCAATACTACTAATACTACAGCTTCGAACGGCAGCCTGACCATAGCCCTGGAGGGCTTCAGGTCATTGAATGGTAAAATGAAAGAGCATCCCGGCGTGGACACATCTATGTGGGACTCATGTTTGGACACGTTTGGCAAATATCAGTCCTTGGTGTCCATAGCTGTGTTTGCCGCCATCTTGACCCTGTGCAGCTGCTGTCTAATTCCCTGCATTCGAAGCCTCATTCAGAGGCTTATTTCAACGGCTATTTCCTCTCCGCAGCAGCAGCTGCAAGTGTATCCGTTCATCACCCACACAGACTCTGCAGGTGAAGGTGATGATGAGAATGTGGAACAGTTTTTTGCCCGCCATGAGGGAACTTGTAGCTCCTCCACCTGTAAGTGAATGTATCTACATTATAGTATGAGCTGATTGTCAAAAATCACCTTTGAAGCGACTGCTTGGTGATATCTGTATTACTTTGATCAACTGACATACACCATAAACAGGGGGGGAAATGTTGGAATAATTATGAATAAGATACTTAATGTTTGTTCTTATGTATAATGTGTGACATATTACTGTTCCAGAGAGGTGTTGCACAAGCAGTATAGGTCAACTCTCAGGAAGTATTGCTCAAGCTTAATGAAACCAGCCGTTCTTTTACTATTTGACAGCAAACTGACCTGTTCACTGAGACTGCAAATTGAATGTCTATGTTGTTTCCCTTTCCTTTAATGCAACCTCAGCTTGTGTAACTAGGGACCCCCCTAACTTTAATAGTGATGAGAAAGTTGAAGACCGGCAGAGTGGGCTGGAGATTGTAAATGCAGTCTCTTCCTACTCTCCTTGCGAGTAAGAAGAATTTTTACTGTGCCTTTCTTTCCTTGTTTTACAGTGTTTTAGGTGTTGTGAATAAGTCTCCTCCGTCATCCATTTTTTTTATTTTGAGGAGGAAAGTGGGGACGAAGATGTTGTAGAAGAGGACACCAGGGCGGCAGAAGCTTGGTTTGATGTAGAAGGCTTACAGCCGTACATGTTTGAGCCCTTGCCTCGCAACGCTGCCAGTTCTGTTAGCTCTACGCCTGCTGAAGACACAGACGTCCATCCCCATGAACACTGGAACGGAACGCAATGGGAAAGGAAAGGATTCTGATTCTTATTTCAACCTAAGCCAGAATGATTTGAAATTTTATTATTTCCCTACAACATTAAAGAGGGGAAATATAAGCTTCTATTGTGGAGGATTGAGGCTTCATTTACCAAATTAAATTCAGCTAGTTTATTTACAGGTTCGGTAACTTAGTTCATTTGTTGAAAAAGCGAACAATGAACATTAGCCAGTTCATTTCCACCTGAGTGAACTGAACTGAGCTTTTTAACCATGAACTGTCACAACATTGCCCTGCTCCATATAGTGATGGAGGGGTCAGAGGTCAGGGTCATACACAGCCTCTGTAATCAACTGTTCCTCAGCAGACAGATGTGTTAAACATGCAGAGGAGTAAAACTTAACCACTGATCTATTCCCGATTGGACCACGGTCAGAGGTCCACATCAGCATGGAAGGAGGCCAGACCGTTTTAGAGCGTAAGCAATCTGAACTGGAAGATGAGGACTTACTTTAGCCGCATAGAGAAGAGGGCCAGAGTCCCTGAGATGAGGTGGGGGGGCATAGGGTCCTCCTGCAGGGAGAAACACAGAATAAAACAGTCATGGAGACCTGAGGAGCTCGGCCGTAAGCAGAGGAGATACCACGCAGTGAGGAAGAGGAGGGGAGTTGAGGGGCGATACCTTGGCGCCCAGAGGACCAACAGGTGTGGGGCGCTCCCTTGCCACCAGGTGCCATACCTCTGACAGATCCTCTGGTGTAGGATGGAGCGGAGAAGCCGGGGGACGGGAAGATCTGTCCACCATTAATGGCCGAGTAGTCCGACTGGTACCCTGCATGGAAGAGAAGAGCCAGACATGAAGAGCATCACCCAAAACCTCAGGGGCAACACGTCGCTCCACACCTACCCATCAGGAGCTCATCATCTGGGGGGGCGAACTCTGGCGGGGTCTGGGTACTGGCAGTGCTGTACTTGGGCCCAGAGCAGACTGCACCATGGGATTTGTAGTGCAGCTCTCCGTTGTGGGGTAAGGATGCAGCCATTTTGAAGACCTGAAGGAAATAAAGGACTGAGAATAGAATGCTGGAGAAGCTGAGCGACATTTCAACCAACACATGACGCTTTAAGACGCTTCAGCACCGCAGTGAGTTAATGAGTTTAACAACAGCCAAAGTGGTGGAGGACACCGTCAGCTTAGGGAGATCAAAGAGGCAGTTTGTTCACTTCATCCCAGTTTTCCCTCTTTTGATCCATTTGCTCTGAGGGAAACTGTTCAACATGTCCTTCAGGAGCCACAGGAGCCAAGGGCAAAGGAGCCTCAGGGGCCGGGCAAAGAGTGATGAATCCTTAGGTCAGGAACAAAAAGAAAAAAACTGGAGATTGTAACAAGGTATAATATTACACTGCTCAAAAAAATTAACACTTTGAAAACACATCAGATCTCAATGGGGCAAAAAATCCTGTTTTTTTTTATCCTGATATGGACTGGGTGATGTGTTAGAAACAAAAGGATGCCACATCATATGATGGAAATGATGGCGTCCTGAGGTATCTCCTCCCAGATCTGGATGAGGGCATCACTGAGCTCCTGGACAGTCTGAGGTGCAACCTGGTGGCGTCGATTGGATGGAAACATAATGTCCCAGAGGTGTTCTATTGGATTTGGATCAGGCGAGCGTGGGGGCCAATCAATGGTATCAATTCCTTCATCCTGCAGGAACTGCCTGCTTACTCTCGCCTCATGAGGCCGGGCATTGTCATGTACCAGGAGGAACCCAGGACCCACTGCGCCAGCATAGGGTCTGACAATGGGTGCAAGGATTTCATCCCGATACCCAATGGCAGTCAGGGTGGTGTTGTCTAGCCTGTATAGGTCTGTGCGTCCCTCCATGGATATGCCTCCCCAGACCATCACTGACCCACCACCAAACCGGTCATGATGAATGATGTTATAGGCAGCATAACGTTCTCCACGGCTTCTCCAGACCCTTTCACGTCTGTCACAAGTGCTCAGGGTGAACCTGCTCTCATCTGTGAAAAGCACAGGGCGCCAGTGGCCGACTTGTCAATTCCGGTGTTCTGTGGCAAATGCCAATCGAGCTCCACGGTGCCGGGCAGTGAGCACAGGGGCCACTAGAGGACGTCGGGCCCCCGGGCCACCCTCTTGAAGTCTGTATCTGATTGTTTGGTCAGAGACATTCACGGATGACATCATACACGCTCTGCTGTGATAAAAAAAATATAAATATAAATAATATAACCGCGGATGTCTGGGGGACAGTGATTCGCCTACATGTTATGAATGCACAATTTGCTAAACTAAGTATTTTTTGCTGTTAAATATTAGAGATTTTGTTAATTCAAACTTCAAATTCAAAACAAAGCCCACGCCTGTCATCTGGATGCCCTAGCAGTGTCATAGCACCACGCAATGCCCCAGCATGCATACTACCACACTTTCAGCGCTGCTTAGTGGACCCATGGGGATTATCCATGTGGACTGGGCCACTGGATGGACCTTACCGAGTGAATGTTCTGGAACTGGGATGTAGTGAGAGCTCTCCTCATTGGAGGGGTGGAGAAGGACTCTGCCTGGGGTGGAGTGGAGGTGTTGGACCTCAGCCCATTACAGGGGGACTGCTTCCCTGAGTCACTTCCTGGGGTCTAAAGAAGAATCAGTGATTCCACATTCATCCATTGATTAAAAAGGTCTTTGGTTAGATTCCAGCTTACATGTGAACAGTTCTTCTCTTCCTGGCCAGATACTAGAGCCTCCCGGTGGTACAGAGGCGGTGAGGAATGCCGCTTCCTTTCAGTCAGCTGGAGCGACTCCTGAAACAAGACCAGATAGAACAAGCGACTAAATTAAAAAAACAAAAACAATCCATGACCACCAAAAGGCATGTTGGCGGTACTTGGGACTGGTGCTTCACAGAGGGCTCCAGGTCACTGGTCTCCAGGCTCTGATCCCCACTCGTCATACTGGCTTTGCGCTCCCTCAGCCTGGGAGGTAATGGGGTCGACTGAATGCAGGAAATAAAGAAATCCAAACCTCATCAAATTAATCATTTCAGAAGAACATGGCCAACAATAAATTAAAGCCATCTTACATGCAGAGTTTTGGCCAGAAAATCAGGAGGGCTTCTCAGACATCCCTGGGCTGGCAGGGGGAAAAAAAAGAAAAATATACAGTTAAAAACAATCCACCAATAGAAAGAGGTGCATTTATTCTGACAGGAGAGATTAAGAATAGAGAACTTTAGCCTCTGACTCAAATGTAGAGATGAGATGTAAAAAGGCAGGAATGCTGCCAAACTAAGACTCAAAGGGTTAAAGTACCAAAACACTTCTGATGTGGAAACAGACTGAAGGTTCAGAGCGAGGTCTGAAGTAAAGCCGCTATTTTACTGGCCCGCGTTGGTTCATGTGAGAAAGTGGTACCAGGAGAAAATGTTGAAAGGGATTCATTCAAAGATGAATTCGCAAAAAGACTTTCTCAGAGTTGTCTGGGTGTCATCCTATGTTTCTGGGTTTCTAAGGGACTGCTGGTCCTGAAAGAGGAAGAACCCACCATCCTCAGCACTGCTGCCCCTGCAGCACATCAACAAACTGATAGCTGGGTGGATCAGAGAGCAGCACGTGTTTCCTACCAGGAAAAGGTCAGGGAGCCTCTGACCTTTTTTAATTGTAGATTTTTCTTCCTTATTCTGTGTCGCTCTGCACCACGTCAGATTCAGCCAACGTTTTCAACTTCTGTAAATGATCCTGCAAAACGTGATGCCGTCCACCTGTATGTACGCAAGGCGCCATCCGAGAAATGTAAATCTGCATAATTACCGCCCAGATCACACTATAAAAGGCTACAACTTCTAGCGCTTGTCAGACTGTGTTCATTCACAAAAAATGCTTCGAAAACCAAGAAAAAAAATGGAGGTTCTGCAGAAATAAAGGGCCAGTAAAGGCCAAGCAGTGAAGTAAATCACAAGCGCTTGTAATGCACTGTTGCACTGTTAAGCTGCATTTACACTGAACTTTGTGTGCGTGGCCCGGGTGGTGTATTTATGTAGTATCCTTATCCAAACCATGCAGGGAAGAGCAGCAAAGCGGTTAGCATTGAATCCCATTTAATGAGGGCCTGGAATATATGCCACTCCCCAACCCACGGCGGCGTAAGCCACTCCCCAATCCACGGCGGCGTAAGCCACTCCCCAACCCACGGCGGCGTAAGCCACTCCCCAACCCACCGCGGCATAAGCCACTCCCCAACCCACCGCGGCATAAGCCACTCCCCAACCCACCGCGGCATAAGCCACTCCCCAACCAACGGTGGCATTTGCCAGATACCACTTTGTCAACTGTTTGGGTTCCACCTTCTGCTGTTGCCAACATTGCATATGATGTCACAGTTCCATTGTTGCCAAGAAAGAGACAACAGCCAAATGCATTTTTGACAATAAGAGGTGAATTTAAATCTCGCCTCACTTTCTGCTACACTGAAAACAAGCTAATAAACGAAGAGAAGATGAGTTTGTTTAACGTTACCTAGAGGAGAGAGCGCTCCAGGTGAACGCCTAGTTAGCCTGGGTGTACCATTGGTCAGTGATGTCTCACCATCCAGGAGGGAGTCCTGTAAAAGACAGATGGTTTAAATTGGAGAACAGATATGTAAACATTACTCAAACAATAAAGGTCTGCTTTATAATGGAGTGGATATGAACTGACCTAAACTGATCCATTAATTCAACTTTCCTTCAAACATAAATTCTCACACTTTGACCAGGTGAGCTAATATGACCAGCAGGAAGTATCCTGATCGAATGCAGCTCCATACTCAAACTGATCCAAGCAGGGATTTGGACACTGTTCTTCTACCCAATAGCTTTTCTTTCTTCAGCCATCAGAGCAGAACAGAGATGGGGGATCTGGAGTCAAGTCATCTATGTCATGTGTTCATTCACTCATTGGACTCACCTGGTTCAGTGGCTGGGCAGAAGAAATGCATGACAGAGATGACTTGTTGACTCCAGATCCCCCATCTCTGGAGCAGAACCCTTTGAATCTGCCCACAGTGGCCCACCTCTGCAGCCAGAGATCATCAACAAGCCAGAGCAGCCAATGGTTCACCACTGCCTTGACCACCTTTCACAATGTCCAACATTCCAAAATACCCCAACCAGGATGAAGAGGAAGAGTGGTGAGCTTAATACTTCTAACTGAAATCTAATGCTACATTCAGGCCGCACACGCCAGAGGCAGCAGAAGCAGCTAGTTTACATGAAAAGTCAGTGGTTGACATGCATCAAGGCGCAGCAAAAGGTCCTGCAGCGGGTTTAGAGCAGCAGGAGCAGCACATTACGAGCTTCTGAGGCACTTCAGAAGCAGCAGCTGTTGGAGTTTGAAAACTTGAACTTTAGCTGCTGGATGCGCCACATCAACCAATCAGAGAAGCTGATCTGGGAGCTGGCAGGGAGTCAGACAGCACTGCTGATGCAGAGCGCTATGATCACTCCTCTGAAACACTAACGCCTAAATTAACTTAAAATGTAGAAACCTGCCGACAGAATATGTTCACTTTCATTATCCTGCTGCCTGCAGTTTGGATTATGTACGTCAAAAACTCTAACATCTACTTCCAGCCGCCACCAACAGTAGGGGAAAACCCCCAAGAGGCGAGCGGGCCTGAGGCAGCTGCTGCTGCTGGGGATTCCCAGTGACAGCGCAGCGCCGGTATGTGGGGGTCTGAGCAGCTCCCACAGAGAAATAATCTTTGAAGGCAGGATGGTAATCTGGATGAACTGACTGCACAGACCATGTTTTCAGGAGGACTTTCTCAAAATAGATTCAAACTACTTTTTACCCACTGATCACAGCAAATGTAGCAAAGCTGCTCTACCATTGATCACAGGAGCAGCAGAAGCATCAGACGCATCTGGACACATTTAAATGGACGTCTGACCTTAATGTGGACACGCAGCAGAAATGAAGCAGCAGGAGCCTCTTTGCTCTTATGCTATGTTCAGACCCCATCCGCTGGAAGCATCAAAGACGCACCACAATGCTAACACGAGTGCTAGCCTTCTACCCTGAGCATGATGCTAGCGCCACTGCAGAGCCTAACGGAGGGACACCTGCTCATCATCAGTGGGAGGTTTCAGTAAGAATATCTTTCTTAGATTTACAGAGTATGGAGGACCACCTGCATGAAGCTGAAGGAGCCATGGATCTTTGTCATGAGATCCTCCAGATGCTGCTTCCGGAGTACGGGGTCTTCGGGTAAGGCAGACGGGGAGCTGAAGACCTCCACCAGTATATTCATTTGATTAGGCTGCAGGAACCAAGAAGACCAACAAGTTCTTCAGCAGTTAAACTCAGACATTTCCTCTGTAAACTAACTGGGACTCACCAGCTTAGCATTTCTTTCTGCTTTGGTTTTATTCTCTTTTCTCTAGGGAGAACATGATTCATTAATCACCAGGTCAGTCAGCGGTAAATAAGCTGATGGGCATACTTTAGGTCTGAATGTTGGGCTCCAACTTTAGCTACTGATCTAAGAACCTCAGCAATCCTCCCTGAGGAACTATTCAGGACTAGAAACCTCACCCGTTTGCTCTCAGCAGAGCAGGCTTTGGAGGGAACTTTAGGGATGAAAGTGGCCGCCCCCTTCCACGGTTTGTTAGCTGGAGTTTGTGGAGACATGGCTCCATCAGGGAAGTCTGCATCCCAGCTATCTGGAGGCTCCCGCTCCCTCACAGCCTTAAAGTCCTCCTTCCAGTCCTTCCCATCAGCAGTCTCCACGTCAGTCTGGTAGAGCCTGTTCAAAAACTGCAGTGGCACCAAAAGCAAGGCTGTCGATGAGTAGATTCACAATCACATCAAATCCAGCTGAAACAAATATTAGTTTACCTCCTTTGACTTTTCCTGTGGCATGAATTTTAAAGCTGAAGAGAAAAGACATGACAGCAATTAGTCACTAGAGTTAGCATTCCCATCAGAAGCAAAGAAACAGGACAGTAAAGTCACCTTTAAGTATAATAAACATTTTCTTTATAAAACCAGACTAATGTAAGGACCCATAAGAAGAAACTAAAGAACCTGTAGGATTACAATACTTCGATATAAATGCTTCAACATCAACCTGCTGTGGAGAACTCCTCCTCAGAGGTTTGGAGCAACAGAAGAAGAAACTGAGGTGAAGAAACCAGTGGTTGTGTCAGAAGATGGAGCACAAATCATCAGGATGTGTCAGTTCTGATGTAATTAGAGGAGGAATTTCTAAACAAGAGAATCCTGGCTGAACCGGATCACCGAAAAAAATAGAATCTAAACAGGATATATTTATATGGATGAAAGATGCAGTCAGCTTTCACTGAGAACTGAAACTTCCAAGTTTAACTGTGAAAAACTCAACAAAAATGAACCAGAACCCTGAGCATCCCCCTGTTGGACCCTTTCAGAGCTCCTCACCATCTTAGACATTTTGTCTTCGTATTTAGACATTTGCTGAAATGTGTGATCTTCACTTTGTAAAATCCCCTCACAGGAGGTCTGAAATAATCACACCATATTGAAAACTTTCTGCTGAAAGTTATAAAATTAACCCCCTTGCAAATCGCCCCCTATTGTTGCATCAGATTGATCCAAATCTCTGAGTTGCTGTTGGATTAACGGACTGGACTGAAGACTGGTCTGCAGAAACTGGACCGAGCTGAAGGCCTTCCCTCCACCAAACCGAAAACAGTAACTGCACCCCCCCCTTTCCACTGCTTAATGCTAATCAGTGTTCTGCTTGGGTGAACTATAGGTAGATAGAATTGCTATGTCGGTGTTTTTATTTGAAATAAGCTTTCTGATTCAACTGCGATGGTTTTTAAAGGTTTAACTAAATGCTAATGCTCACTACAGACCGAACGAATCACGTGTTACCGAAGCTAACTGCTACATTGTGAGCGAACCCTCTCAGTTGGACCCGACCAGAACCAGAACCCCTGGGGCCAGCTAAGCTAACGGGTCTTTCAGCCTCATCATAGTTTAATGCATTCCTGAGTCATTATTTTTCACCATAAACTTAATGAAACTTCCTGTTTTGACTGCAGTTAACATCTGTGTGTGTCGGGGTTTATTTACATGTTATCTGTTGCTATTATAAAGGACACTTTTAAATGCATTAACTAACCCTTAAAATCCTGCAGACTTTGAACGGACTCTTAAACCCCTCTTCCCCTTTTATTTCTTTGATTCTGCTTATTTTTAGTAGCGTTTAATGTTCTCCTTAGTTATTAGATATAATACTGTGTGATTGTAGCTAATAAAGGTACCATTGTATTTTAACCCGTGGTCTTTTGTGTTCATTTTACACAGTGAAGAATTTATCACTCAGGTTGGATTCATTCTTCTTTCAGTAGCATCTGAATGAACAGAGACATTTATTTGGTTGGTGATTAATAACGCTGCTAAGAGCTATAGTGAAAAATCCAGTTTTCTTTCACCAATTTAGTAACTTAAACAGCCGGATTCAGGAGTCCAACCCTTTAGGGAAGGGTTAGTAAGCAAGTAACAGTTATAATCATTCTACTGATAACTAGATTTTCCCTTGATTTGAATGACCTATGAATTATGTAACTTCCAGTTCTAGTTATTTAATATATTCATAATGTATCATATATATCATAAATATCAATCTTCTAGTGAAGTGGCACGACACACCCAAGGAACCGCCCAAGACATTAAATCTCATCTCACCATGGAGCGTTATCACAGATCCTTCCTCCCAGCGGCTGGAAGACTCTAGAACCACCACTGTTCCCAACAACTTCAATCAGTTGTTCGATTCATGCTGACTTTGCACAGTTTCTACCTTAGTCAGTTAAATAACCTGCTGCTGTCATTCTGCACATCTCTGATGTTGCTGCTATTTTCAAATATGCATTACGGGAAAAGATGTCCATAGCTGCATATTGGTTATTTATTCTCCAGGTTCATATTGTTAAAACACTTTACAGGATTTTATTGTTTATCTTTTAACTCTTCACTATTATGTTATTCTGATACATTTTTCTAAGGTCCACATTTGTGTGACAATTTTTTCTATAATCTTTTTGCTGCTGTAACACCAGAATTTCCCCATTGTGGGACAATAAAGGGATTTTCTATTCTAATCTATTCTGGAGCAGAGGAAGCAGAAGAGCTCTTTCTGCATGTCCTCCATCTCTGCAGCTTCTCGTCTGCATCTCCATTTGGGTTTTTTCTAAAATGTTTAACTCTACACCTCAATCCTTTTTAATAAAAACAATGACTTTCATCTCAAATTGCATTTTTTCCTGTAAACTTTATCTTCCTGTCAGTAAAGTTCATGTTGTGATTTAATCCAATTTCCTTTTTGGTTCCTTACTATAGATAAATGAATAAATATTGCCCTTTACTGTATATTCTTCCCAGTTTAATGGATAAACTAGATTCATTGATCATAAAAACTGTTGTTAGATTAATGAGTTTTGCAGCCTGACCAATAAAGTTCATAGAATGGCAGGATGTTCTGCCGTCCACTTCCTGCTGTTGATCATGTGACCAAGTCCTTACCACTCTGACCAGCCGAGCTCACTGAACGCACTGGAGTCCTGCTGGGGGGGGGCGGTGGACGGCTGAAGAACTTGTAGTTCAACAGTCTGAGGAGCTCCTCCTTCAGCCGCTTATCTGCAACAACAGAGTGGTTACCATGGTTACCAGGACTAACCCCACGCACCTTTCCATCATCCTCTTCCTCTGGTTTCTGTCTGCTTAGATGGGATGCTAGATAAGACATCAGTCCATGAGGGGGCAGAACACAGAGGGAGCGCCAAACGTCCCAGGAAGCCGAGGGAGCGCCAAACGTCCCAGGAAGCCGAGGGAGCGCCATAGGTCCCGGGGAAACAGAGGGAGGGAGCGCCATAGGTCCCGGGGAAACAGAGGGAGGGAGCGCCATAGGTCCCGGGGAAACAGAGGGAGGGAGCGCCATAGGTCCCGGGGAACTGGTTCCAGGAAACTGAGGGAAACCCAAAGATTCCGGGAAAGTGAGGGAACGCCAAAGGCCAAAGGCCAACTGACCGTTTGGACGGTCAGTTCACTAGAACTGACCATTTGGACGGTCAATTAACTTTCCCTCCCCGTCGGGTCAAGTGGCTCCGCCTCCCCACAGGGTGTCTGCATCATCCTTGTTCATCCTCGTTGCCATAACAAACCACATGATGCTTTGTGGGAGAGCTCTTGCAAAGCATTCTGGGATATATCTGCTGGTCTCGTGACCATGATCTCTACTTTTAAAGATGCATTGTGGAAAATTTAGACTCCAGTACTTTTTCCTCCACTAGACGTTCGGACACTCGTATAAAATGGCGTAACCACTATAGAGGAGATGGTTTGAACGTTCGGAGACAGCCTGAATGTTCAGGAACACAGAGGGAACACCAAAGGTTGATTTAAAGGAAATCAACTTCTACCTGTGGAAATGGATCAAGACTTCCTGCCAGACAGAAAAATGACTGCAGCCAAGAACCGACCCACCTCCTTCAGACCGACCCACCACCTTCAGACCGCCCCACCACCTTCAGACCGCCCCACCACCTTGGGTCCGGACGCCCCGCCCCCGTGAGACTCAAACCAAATTTTTGCTTTGAAGCAAAGGTCAGGACCCGAGTTGCTTTTCTGTGATTATTTCTCAGACATTTACTCACATGTCGAACCAACCACAGGTTTCTCCTTCCCATCCAGGAGGTCCATGTAGGCCGAGGCCGCCTGCTCCATCTGCTCCTCCAGGCTGCAGGGGAACCATGAGGAGATGCTACTAAACGCTGAAGGTGCTTTACAACCGCAAACTGCTAAAACTTGATGTTCCATAAGAAAGCAGAGCTCAGAGCAACACGTCCACCCTGGAAGCTGAAGATCCATCAGAGGACGTGACGTCACAGGCTAAGCCCCTCCCACCCTCCATAAGGAGCGTCTCACCTCAGCTGGCCGTCCCTGGTGACCCCCAACAAGGCAGCCAGCTGGTTCAGGCTGTGCAGCAGCGGAGCTGGGATGTAGGGAGCGTCACTGCTTCCTGCCATCAGCTCCTTCCTCACATGTTCCTGCTGGAGAACAACCAGAAGGTTCTGGAACTGGAGCATCAGGGTCAGACGCCTCCTCTCAGCCTCCAGCTTCTCAGCCTGCTCCTGCTTAACCGCCTTTTTCTGAGCCTTCAACAGCTGCAGGAACAGAGGACATAATCACCATCATCATCATCATCAGCACCACCAGCCAGATTCTACTAGAACCACAGGATGCTACAGTGACCCCTAGAGGTTGGCCTGATCCACTGCAGTTAATGACTAAAGAAGCTGCCTATTCAAAGCGTCCATTACTGCAGCCTGGATGGTTCTGAGAAGTTCCAGAACCAGGAACCAGGAACCAGGAACCAGATCCAGCTGCTTCATAGTCCTCAGCCACAGGAGAATATGGAAAAACCTCCTCCTCAGAGGAGTAATCCAGAAGGTGAAGTGTGAAAGTTCAGCAGTGGTGACGGGTCATCTGCCGGGTTCCTCCCCGCACCTCCTGCTCTGCCTGGTTCCTCCCCGCACCTCCTGCTCTGCCTGGTTCCTCCCCGCACCTCCTGCTCTGCCTGGTTCCTCCCCGCACCTCCTGCTCTGCCTGCTTCCTCCCCACACCTCCTGCTCTGCCTGCTTCCTCCCCACACCTCCTGCTGAGTTCCCTTGGAGGCCTTGGCATCCAGGCAGGAAGTGGTCTATATCCAGATCTGGAAACTTCTCCTTGTTCCGACTAAAACCCTCACACTAAGCACTTCCTGAAGATGTTTGTGGAAACATGTCAGCACTGAGGAACATGAAGGAGACACCTACGCTCTGGGTCAGGCCATCCAGGGTTCTGTGCATCTCCCGGGCGAACTCCAGGTGATGGAGCACCTGGTCAAACTTCTCTACAGCAGCCTGGAAGAGAACACAGCAGCTGAGGGCAGGGGAAGGAGAACCTGGAGGAGATCTGAGGAGCAGCCTGGCCTCACTCACCATCTGATCTTTGTTGAGGACCTCCCCCTGGACCAGCCTCTTCTGGTACTCCTTCAGCTTCAGCTGTGGGTGAGAAGGTTGGAGGATGAAGTGGGGGAGGCGCTGGTCAGCAGCTCCCAGCAGGAACCCTTACCTTCTTCTTCTCCAAGTTGCGGACTTTGTGCTTCAGGCAGATGAGGCCATCTTCTATGTAGGTCTCATAGCCTTGGTAGGTGGTGGACACCTCCAGGTTCTCCACCCTCTGCTCCTGCTGGCCTTCGGGTTCCTCTGTCACATCCAGGGACCGGGGTGGAGATAGCTGCACCATGATGAGGAGGCCTGCTGCAGGAGGGACAGGTGAGAGGAGAACCCAACCAGGAGCAGAACAAAGACTCCAACTTCAGATCAGAAACCAGGAGACATTTAAACCCAAATATGGCGCGAGACCAACGCTTCAAAGCGATCAAAGAGCCGCACCTCGCGCCGTTTTCCTCAGAGACGCTGAATTCACACCTGATGCTTGGCCACGCGGGGGCCAGGCCGCGCACGCGCACTGCCTTATATAGCCTGCAGGAGGCGGCGGCGCGCCTCCGTTTCCACAGCTGCTGTCTATGAGGAGGAGGAGGAGGAGGAGGAGGAGGAGGAGGAGGACAGCCAGAAGATTACACACCTGGGAATCCAGACCTTCATCAGAACCGAACCAGAACCTAGACCTCAATCAGAACCGAACCGAACCAGAACCCAGACCTTCATCCGAACCGGACCAGAACCCAGACCTTCATCAGAACCCGACCGGAACCCAGATCTTCATCAGAACCGGACCGAACCAGAACCGAGACCTTCATCAGAACCGGACCAGAACCCAGACCTTCATCAGAACCCGACCGGAACCCAGATCTTCATCAGAACC